ATTTATTTATTTGAGAGAGAGAGAATGAGAGATAGAGAGCACGAGAGGGAGGACCGTCAGAGGGAGAAACAGACTCCCCGCTGAGCAGGGACCCCGATGTGGGACTCGATCCCGGAACTCCAGGATCATGACCTGAGCCGAAGGCAGTGGCTTAACCAACTGAGTCACCCAGGCGCCCGGGACCATTCATTCTATCACTACTCCTCATGGGTTGTTCAAGGTGGGACCATATATTCTAGGCCTCTCCACGTGGGCGGTCCCAATTGGCACAATATATTCTACCACTGCTCCAGGTGGGCTTCCCTGGTAGGGACCATACATTATATCACTACTCATCGGGAGCTGTTTCAGGTGGGACCACACATTCTATCACTACTCCACGTGCACCGATCCACGTGGGAACATTCCCTCTATCACTGCTCCACTTGGGTTGTTGAAGGTGGGACCATAGATTCTAACCCTAATCCACGTGGGCCGTCCTAACTGGGACAATATATTCTACCACTGCTGCAGGTGGGCTGTTTAACGTGGCGACCACAGATTCCATCACTTCTTCTAATGGCCTGACCCAGGTGGGGAACAAACAGTCTATCACTGCTCCTCGTCAGCTCTTCCAAGTGTGACCATTCATTCTACGCTTATTCTATGTGGGCTGTCCCAATTGGGATTATATGTTCTACCACTGCTCTAGGCCTGCTGTTTAAGGTGGACACCACAAATTCTATCACTGCTCCTAATGGGCTGACCCAGGTGGGGGCCATACAGTCTATCACGGCTCCATGTGGTCTGTTCCAGGTGGGACCATTCATTCTATCACTGCTCCATGTGGGCTGTTCAAGTGGGGACCAGACATTCTATCTCTGCTCTACATGGACATGCCTGCTAGGGAACATACATTCCATCACTGCTTCTCCTGGGCTGTTCCAGGTGGGCCCAACATTCTATCAATATTCACCTGGGCTGTTCCAGGTGGGACCATACAGTCTACCACTGTTCCACGTGGGCTGTTCCCGATGGGACCATACATTCTATCAGTGCTCACCTGGTCTGCTCCAGGCAGGGACCTTACATGCTGACCATGATTCTCCTGGGCTGTTCCAGATGGGACCACACATTCTATCCTTACTCCACCTGGGCTGTCCCAATGGGACAATATATTCTACCACTACTCCAGGTGGGCTATTCAGCTGCGGACGAGACATTCTGTCTCTGCTCCACCTGGGCTGTTCCAGGTGGGGATAGCACATCACACAAGTGCTCCATGTGTGATATCCCTGGTAGGGACCATACAATTTATCATTGCTCCATGTCGGCTGCTCCAGGGGGGACCATTCATTCTATCACTGCTCCACGTGGGCTGTTCAAGGTGGGACAATATATTCTACCTCTGATCCAGGTGGTTTTTCAGGTATGGAACAGACATTCGATCTCTGCACTACATGGGCAGTTCCTGGGACCTTCTACATGGGCAGTTCCTGGGACCTTACATTCTATCACTGATCTACGTAGGCTCTTCCAAGTGGGGGGCCGCACATCATACCACTGTTCCACCTGGGCTTTTTCAGGTGGAGACCACACATGCCACACATCATACCACTGCTCCACCTGGGCTGTCCCTGATATGGACCATACATTATATCACTGCTCTACATGGGCAGTTCCTGGGACCTTACATTCTATCACTGATCTACATAGGCTCTTCCAAGTGGGGGGCCACACATCATACCACTGCTCCACCTGGGCTGTCCCTGGTAGGGACCATACATTATATCACTGCTCATCGGGGGCTGTTTCAGGTGGGACCACACATTCTATCATAACTCCACGTGCACTGATCCACGTGATACAATTCCCTCTATCACTGCTCCACTTGGGCTGTTGAAGGTGGGACCATAGATTCTAAGCCTATTCCACGTGGGCTGTCGCCACTGGGACAATATATTCTACCCCTGATCCCGGTGGTTTTTCATGTCTGGAACAGACATTCGATCTCTGCTCTACATGGGCCGTTCCTGGTGGGGACCTTACATTCTCTCACTGATCTATGTAGGCTGTTCCAGGTGGGGACCACACGTTCTGCGACTGTGTGCGTGAGCTCTCCTAGGTGGGGACCATCGATTGAAACACCAGTAACAGAGCACAAGTATACCCAAACCTCCCACGTACACGTTCCCATCCAAACTCTCTTGCCTCAGCCACGTGGGTGAGAATAGCAGGCAGAGGAGGGACATATGAAGGGATATGTGTAAGGGAAAGTGTTCCAGAGTCTGTCTGAACTCTATGCTATTCCCATCATCACCCCTCGATCAAGGCTAGAGTCTGAACCCAAATTACTGACCTGCGACGTCCAGGCGGAAGGACACCTTCTGGCCCCCGGCCTCACAGCGGTACTCGCCAGCGTCCGCCTTGCCCACCTGCGGCAGCACCAGCCGCCTGCTGCAGCCCTTGGCCTCCATGTGCACTTTGGAGCTCGCACTCAGCTTCTTCCCATCCTTGTACCACGTCACCTCTGTCTGGGCCTGGGCCACCTCACAGCTCAGGCTGGCGCTGGCCCCCGCCGTGGCCTGCACCTCACTGCGTGCTGGCTGCTCCTTGGCAAACACCACAGAGGGCTCTGGGGACAGAGAGGAATAATCAAATATCTAGAACTGAATTAGGGCCCACCTTCTAGATTTCAAAACCAGGAGTCCTTGGCCACATGCTTGTGCTGCTCCTGGCTCCATCTACACAGAGAACCCCACACTCAGGAGACACATAAAGCAAGGAACAAGTTAGTTTTCAGAATCTGAAGACTCCATGTCAAATAATCTCCAGGTAGGTATGTGTTAGGATTCAGGATTTGGCATTTATCATCCGTGATGCCATAATTATCCTAACAAATGGCAGCATACCTGCACATCAAAGCAGAGATATTTTCAGGGAGAATATCTTGTGCACTGTCACCAATAGCAGGTGATGTCCAAGTCACAAGAACACAGACACAATGACCCCTAATGCAGTCTGTCACTTCTAGCCAGCCAATCACCATCCCTGTAACCCAACCCCTGGCCTGGGGATGGACATAGTTTTTACTGACTTCCTTCTTTAGTTTCACATCACATTACTTCTAGGACCCACTCTGTCACTCTAGGCTAAATTTTCTTCCTTTTGACGTATATCCATCAACAATTTTTTTCCAGCAGGATTTTGTGAAAAGTAAATTATCTCCATTTATTTCCTGAAAACATCTTTATTTCACTCAAACTTTTGAATGATAGTTCAGCTGGATACAGAATTCTAGTTGACAGTTATCTTCCCCCAGTACGTTGGAGATGATGCCTTCTTTGTGCTCTTCATTGCTGTTGACAAATCTGTGGAAGGACTACTGTCCTCCCATTAATCTTCACTTTTCTGTGGTTCACTATGATGTGTCTAGCTGTGGGTTTATTTCTCCTACATTTCCCATGATCACTTGGGAGTCCTGAAGCTTAGGATTCACATCTTCAACCGCTGCTTAAAGTTCTCTATGTCATTTCCTTCATAATTTTATCTTCTCATTCTCTCCAGTCTCTCCTAGAAGCCCTTTTGGACACACATGTGGCCTACTGCTTCTCTTCTCTACATCTGTCCTTCTTTCTTATTTTTTTTTATCTCTGTGTTTCACTCTGAGTAATTTCCTCAAATCTATCTTCCAATTCAGTGATTTCTGTCTTCAACCATGTCTAATTTGCTATTTATCCTGTGTTTCCCATTCACGAAGCTTCATTTGCTTCTTCTTTGAATCTCCCTTTCTTCTTCTTACTATTTTACTTCTTTCTTACATTTTCCTCCTCTTTTCTAGCACCTGGAAATGTACCTTTTTCTCCTTGCCAGTCCAGAAATTAACTTAACCTGACTTTGTTACATTCTGCCCACATTTTCAGATGTCCACAGTGGGAGAGTTTTCACACTATAGAAGTCAATGGTACTGCTGGAAAACCAAAATCCAGACGGGGTGTGGTTTTTTTTTATAATTTTTTATTGTTATGTTAATCACCATACATTACATCATTAGTTTTTGATGTAGTGTTCCATGATTCATTG